TGCTTATGCAAGGAAGCATGGTCTACTGAAAGTTGAAACTGATCTTTTCAGAAACAACTACATTTGAGATAACAGAACTAATGTGCCGTAAAATAGCAGCGAAAATTTTATAAGGAAGTTCAAGTACTGCCCTGTCACATATTTTGTTCCTTGCTTGAAGTTGTCGCCGATCTGTACAAAAACAAACGTTTGTTTACCTCTTCCTAAATTTGAAACATTTGGAGCTGTCTAGGTTTTCTACTGTGTCCACCTGGGCGGTCTTTGATTTAAACAAACCTGCACAGCTCTGGATGATACCGTTCAGGATAACGAGCTGGACCTCTAGCAGCTAGTATAATGTGTTCTATTACCTGATCTGGCAGATTTTGACGAGAGTTTTGGCGTTTGCCAATCAAATTTGAGAATACATCTATTTTCGGCGTTTCTCGGTTTTTCGTATTATAAAACGTTTTATTACAAAGTTAACTTCGCCTTTAGAGCCCAGACGGATGGACAGCGGGGAGACTTCTGCACTTTTTTCCCGAGACTGAATGATGAGCGACTGCTCTATTTGTGTTCAGGAATACAGTTCAACGAAAGGTAGCAGAACCACGACCACTTTATCTCAGTTATTCTATGTCTTCATTTCGAGAATAGGTGTCCTGGACTCATTCTTCCCAGGCGACTGAAGACCTTCCCCTTCTTATTCTTCTTTGTTTTAGTATGTAATTTAATGCTTTATTTGGCCATTTATCTTCAGTCATCCGTTTCACGTGACCGTATCACACTAGTTGTCTCGTTTCAATTCTGTCTACTGTGTGGAATATACAGTATTTGTCCTTCTTCTAATACAGGGTGTTGAATCGGGAACTCCATCGACAGATTTCTCGAAAAGTAGGCATACGATATTTTTGAAAATTTGGGAGTATACTACCGTCGATAAGACAACGGAACCTGAAATATTTTCAAGGTGGTAGAACTTCCGGTTATACCGAAAGTTGATGCCAACTTGCATATTTTAAATTGGACACCGTGGATGTTACTCAATATTCAGATTCTGTATAAAATTCTAATCACATTTCATGTATAATCTCCTATACCCAAGTTCAGCCGTTTTTGACATATTTCAAATTTTATGTCAAAAATGACGTTTGCAGGCCCAAAAATAGTTGTTCAATTCCCCTATGTAGAACACCTTATTGTTTAATGTGGATTGATTTTCTGGTAAATAGGAATATATGTTAGTTTAAGAGTCTTTGTATGATATTTAATATAAATGAAAATCCTGTATTTTATCGCAACAATCATTAAAAATTAGCGTAACTTAATATAGGGTTAGCTATTCCAAAAATGTTTACTTTTCGAGTATTTTGCAACTTATTACTCTTCTATTGTATAACTCCTATAAGTACAGATGTAGTTTTTTAATTAGTCAGCTATGACGACGGGACGCGGAGAACAAACAATTGCGCTTTATAAAAACGTCACTTTATAATAATGTCCTGCATTTGACAGTTTATTCATAACTCATTAATAATAATTATTCCCGCGCGTTTACATTCCACTTACGAAGAGTATTTCAAATTATTTATTATAGAAGATAGAAAAAAGAAGACCGGACGCACATACGGCCAAACGAGCAATAGGACATTTCAAAAATTTCGGTTGTGTCAAGCCTAAGATTCAAAGGAATAAACCTTTAGTTAACGATGAAACCATGGAAATAGCAATTTTGGGGTGTTTTTATGCTTTTTCAATGATGTCTTTACGACAAGCTGCACGAGAGTAAGGTTTTTTTATGAAAGATACCATTAAAAAAAAATTTGTATAAATACAATTTTTATCCATACAAGCTATCGTTAATCCAACAAATAAAAGAAACCGATTTTTTAAAAAAAATTCAATTTGGCGAATTGATTATTACAAGGTATCAAAAAACGATGCTTTCCTGAAAAATATATGGTCAGATGAAGCAAAATGTACCGAAAATGGGCTTTTCAATCGATACAATTCTCATTATTTTGCTAATGAGAACCTTCATCTAATAAGAGAAAGTCAAGAAAATTTAAATGGTAAGTTAGCAATTAACAGTTTTTTTATAAAATAAACTGATAAGAATGCGCAATATGCAAATACCAGTAGTATCAGTTTCTTAACACGTAAGGTCAGCATTGCCAACATTAGTCTCCTTTAAAAATATTTGGATACAGTGGACCTCCGGTAATCCGACAAACATTATGCAGGGCAGTGTCGGACTATCGAAATTGTCGGATTATAGATCACTGCCTATTCCGGAATTTTTTACAAAAGAGTACCTTTTAATCCGACAAATTACATTTATCCAATGGTAAGATTATACATGTTATGTATATGTATGTGCTTTGAAGTACAAATCATACTTAGTTTATGTATCTCGAATTTAGTAAGTTATATAACAATAGAGAGCTTACGTTTTATTATAAAATTAAGCATAAATGCACATACATATCTACCAAAATAATCAAGAATTATTAATCAGAATCATTAATGAATTTGTGAAATTATGAAGCTTGGAAATATTCATCAATTTTTTGTTTGTTTAAGGTTGTTATAACGTGAGATCAGAGCTTTGTCCCTCAGTCTTCTCAAAAGTAAAAGTTCGTTGTAGGATGTACCATTCTCTTCAGCCCGTTGTAAACCTGGCTCTAAGGCGTTAATTGCGTCTTGTGCTGTGACTTGTGGAGCAGTTGCAATCACGTCGTCGTTATTTTCCTGATTGTTTGTTGTATAATTAGAAACCTCTTTTATAATCTCTTCGTCAGACATTTCATGAAAAACATTTTCCTCTTTATCCATTCCACGGCACCAGATTTCCAAATCTTCCGGACTTATCTGTATTTCAGTAGCGACTTGTTCTATAACTTCCGAAGTAACACTGATTTGTGGAACGTTGCTAGGAGTGGTGACTATATCTGGCCATAACTTTTTCCAAGTCGATTTAATAGTTGATGACGGTAACGCATTCCACGACTGACAAAGAGCAAAAACCAAGTCCTTCATATTAAATTCTTTTAAAGTATTTTCTATTGGTTGGTCTTTTGATATGGCTCTCAGAAGTAGGCTTTTCTTATAGTCTTGCTTGACAAACTGAATGATATTCTGGTCCATTGGTTGAATCAGTGCAGTACAATTTCGCGGAAGAAACATCGCAGTGATGCATTTATACTCAGTTGTTTGTTCTTCTTCAGACGGATAACCGGGAGAGTTATCAAGAGGCAACAACGCTTTTTGAGGAAAATTATTCATTATTTTGCTAATGAGAACCTTCATCTAATAAGAGAAAGTCAAGAAAATTTAAATGGTAAGTTAGCAATTAACAGTTTTTTTATAAAATAAACTGATAAGAATGCGCAATATGCAAATACCAGTAGTATCAGTTTCTTAACACGTAAGGTCAGCATTGCCAACATTAGTCTCCTTTAAAAATATTTGGATACAGTGGACCTCCGGTAATCCGACAAACATTATGCAGGGCAGTGTCGGACTATCGAAATTGTCGGATTATAGATCACTGCCTATTCCGGAATTTTTTACAAAAGAGTACCTTTTAATCCGACAAATTACATTTATCCAATGGTAAGATTATACATGTTATGTATATGTATGTGCTTTGAAGTACAAATCATACTTAGTTTATGTATCTCGAATTTAGTAAGTTAAATAACAATAGAGAGCTTACGTTTTATTATAAAATTAAGCAGAAATGCACATACATATCTACCAAAATAATTAAGAATTATTAATCAGAATCATTAATGAATTTGTGAAATTATGAAGCTTGGAAATATTCATCAATTTTTTGTTTGTTTAAGGTTGTTATAACGTGAGATCAGAGCTTTGTCCCTCAGTCTTCTCAAAAGTAAAAGTTCGTTGTAGGATGTACCATTCTCTTCAGCCCGTTGTAAACCTGGCTCTAAGGCGTTAATTGCGTCTTGTGCTGTGACTTGTGGAGCAGTTGCAATCACGTCGTCGTTATTTTCCTGATTGTTTGTTGTATAAATAGCAACCTCTTTTATAATCTCTTCGTCAGACATTTCATGAAAAACATTTTCCTCTTTATCCATTCCACGGCACCAGATTTCCAAATCTTCCGGACTTATCTGTATTTCAGTAGCGACTTGTTCTATAACTTCCGAAGTAACACTGATTTGTGGAACGTTGCTAGGAGTGGTGACTATATCTGGCCATAACTTTTTCCAAGTCGATTTAATAGTTGATGACGGTAACGCATTCCACGACTGACAAAGAGCAAAAACCAAGTCCTTCATATTAAATTCTTTTAAAGTATTTTCTATTGGTTGGTCTTTTGATATGGCTCTCAGAAGTAGGCTTTTCTTATAGTCTTGCTTGACAAACTGAATGATATTCTGGTCCATTGGTTGAATCAGTGCAGTACAATTTCGCGGAAGAAACATCGCAGTGATGCATTTATACTCAGTTGTTTGTTCTTCTTCAGACGGATAACCGGGAGAGTTATCAAGAGGCAACAACGCTTTTTGAGGAAAATTATGATCTTTTAACCATTTTCAACTTCAGGTACGAAGCATTCATCAAACCACTTCTTGAAAAGGCCTTTTGTCATCCATGCACTTTTTTGTCCGTAATAGTGTACATGTAAATCAATGTGTTTGAATGCCCGTGGTTTATTAGATTTCCCAATGACCATCATCTTAAGCGCGTGTGTGACCGCAGCGTTAGCACATGGAGTATGGTTACACGCTCTTTACTTACTTTTCGTCCAGGTACGGATTTTTCGTTACAAGAAACGAAAGTTTTGTTAGGCATCACACGCCAAAAAAGCCCTGATTCGTCTGCATTGTACACCTGTGACGGGTCAAGATTTCAAGATTTAAATCGTTCACCTTTTGCAAAAATTTTAATTTAAAGGGCTCTATGCAGGTGGCATCGTTGGAAAGTAGTTGGCCACAAAACCATCTTTTTTTGTTATTTCCTTATAAAAAAGCTTAGCTTTCATGGCCAACATAGGTCCTAAAATTGCTGCATGCCTATTTCTTTCCTGAAGAAACCACATGTACAAAGATTCTTCCACTTCTGGATGTTCAGCTTTCTTGAGCGTCTGTCTCTTGCCTGGCCCGCAGTCAGTAGTTGACACGAACCTTTTGATCTTCTCGTGGTTTCTTTTAATAAAATAAATTGTAGATCGTCCTACACCGTATTCACTTGCTAAACTACTGAAAGTTTCATTGCGATTTAAGCGGTCTAAAATATCACATTTTTCTTTAATTGTCAATGTTTTGTGCTTTTGCTTCTGAGTTTGTGGTGGCATTACTAGGTACTATACTTAATACAAAATGAATAAATAGTAAACAATGAACGCACGCTAGGCCGTACCGCTATCACCAGTAGTCAAATTCAAACTAAGTAAAACAATGTTTACGCGTCGAGCACGATAGCGGTTGCGCGTACAAGTTGTAACCTGTTTAAACCTGCGTGATCTACATTAGCGAAGATTGTCAAATACATATGTATGTAATACATATTCAAAGACATTACAGGGGGCGCCGGATTAGACAGGGGGCGGATTATCGGGGGTCCACTGTATTAAAGAAAACGTTATGCAGTTATAAAAATTATTATTATTAATACACAATAATATTTTTAGGTGAAGGTTATTTGAACATTCTTCGGAATTTAGAAAACAATTACTTGGATAATTTACCACTTGCTGATCATCGAAATGTATTCTATCAACCTGACGGTGCCCCACCCCACAACGGACACTTAATAAACAATTTCTTAGGAGCTACGTTTTTCGATCAATGGTTTGCTAATAATGGACCATTCAAGTG